TTTATGTTGTCAACGCACTCCACTAAGCTCGATCTCCCACCAACCCAAACAGCTCCCCAAACCATCATGCTGAAACCACCATGCTTCACAGTTGGCTGCAATATGTTGAGCCAAAACATATGAGGAGGAATAAAGTGGCAAGAGTCCTTCCTCCAATATTTCGACGTATTTCACAAAATTTATGTTGTCAACGCACTCCACTAAGCTCGATCTCCCACCAACCCAAACAGCTCCCCAAACCATCATGCTGAAACCACCATGCTTCACAGTTGGCTGCAATCTGTTGAGCCAAAACTCTTGGTGAGGCGTTCTCCAGACCCATATCCTTCCACTGTCCGAAAATTGAGCAAATCTTGATTTGTCTGAGAACAATACGGTCTTCCAAAAGTCCAGAGGCTTGTTCATCATATCACTTGCTCACTTCTTTCGTCTGACTATGTTGGCAGGTCTTAATAAGGGCTTCCATCTAGCTGCTCTGCAACGATAACCCAAACTGTGGAGATTTCGTTGAACAGATTTCGGGCTCATCCCACCAACTTTGGCCACTTCTGCAGTCGTTAATCTGGGATCCATTTCGCTGCTCCTCTTGACAGCTCTTTTTAAATAATCAGTAGAGTTTCCTCTAGGCTTAAAGCCTTAAAGGCCAAATGAAAAGTTAGACATCTTTGCACTGAGCACTATTAGCTGTTGAGACCAAGCAAGTAGCACAGTTTTGTGTTGGGTTATGCTGGTATGTACCACAAAGGGGCACTGTCGTTCAACATATTTTTTAGTCTCAAAATGGCTTGTACTTTTAATTATTTTAAGAGACGAAAACACTTATTTTTATTTTTTACTCATTATGTGGTGTGAACAAGTATGAATATTCTAACCATAGATTTTTCCAGTATTTTTGCATTTTAACAATTTTGAGACGGGTGATGGGTGAAAGACCATGTCAATTCATTTGTTGACTCGCATTCAGATTTTATTAAACTACTGTTTCATGAACTTATACCAATAACTTTGGTATCAAACTGTAGATTATAATGCAAATTTAAAAGCAAGTATTAAAAAATACAGATAAACATTGATTTTTGTGTGTCACATGGTATGTTGAATGCAGCACTGGTTCAAATTAGATGTTTCTGAAGTCAAAATACTAAGTCTGTAGTTTCGTATGAATTAGAAACTCAAATTACTGATATTGACAAGCTAGAATATAAAATAAGAGCCTCTTATAATTTCAATTTGTAAGATACTGCTCATGTAATGAATCAAACAGAATGGCACCCCACCCACCTCTTTCCATTTTTGGAAATGCTCCCTTATATACACTTACTTCTATATATGATATGAATAACCAATCAGAAGCTCAGAATGTCCCCTAGTGGCTTTCTCAGCCATTTTAATGGACTTAGTGCCATTTCTTTATTTTAAACCAGTGTGTCTTTAGTCTGCTCAAATTCTGTGGAATTCTGTGTTATTAATGTAGTAATTTATGATTCTTTAGTTATTCAAATATATATATAAAACCAAAAAAAAATTTTTTTATATCTTCCACGTGCAAATTTTTAAAAGGCTTAGCAACCAACGTCAAGCAGCACCTGAGTACAAAGGTCGTAACTAGAAGCGATAATTGTTTGCTTTACTTCTTTAGTTAATGTTCAGTGTTTTAAGAAAAATAAGTTTAAGAACTTGTTTCAAAATAGCAATAATCTATTTACATATGTAATGTGTAATGATTGAAATGTGACTGTATTTTACAAAATACTAGTCTACTAAAACAAAGCCAGACGAGTTACTTTGTACAGACCAAAGGTCAGTTTTATTTTATATAATATGGTAACATGAGTGCACGTGAGCCGCGTTGTTGTAACTTCTGTAATTTTAGCCAGGTATGGGTGAAAGGTCAATATAATAAAAATAATAAATATATATAAATATATAATGTTATGAGATTTGAGCTATTTTGTCTTAACATACATGTTTTTGTGTTATAATTCATGTTCATTCTTAAATGAAGGAGGCTTAATTTATATTTATTTCCTAATTTATTATGGTGGTTGCGAGATCGGTCAAATCTACCAAACCCGTACAGAGATTAATTACAGAAAATAACAGATACAATATAAAGTTTTTTCTTAAGAAACATTTGGTAACTATCTGGACATCATAAAGATTTTGCATGTGAAATTTGAAAATTTTCTGATGCATAAAAGTATTTTTAATCTTAAAATGAATATTACTTTGCATGGTAGATAGGCAACATGCAAAAAGAAAAATACATGAAAATAATATTGCTTTACAAACTTTAAGACTTAGTAAAAATAATTTAATATCTTGTGTATCAAAGCACTGTAATGTTTACTGATAATCTGCCAAATTTCATTAAGATTTGCTTACTAATTTAAAAGTTATAGCATAACTATTTTGTAACAAGCACAAAATAGTTATTAGGTCAGTCCCAGGGACTGAGACCATGCTGAAAGAGTTAACATGTTTTTGCATTTTAACAGATAGGTTCATTTTGTTTGTGAATTTGACCAACTGATCAGATTTTTTGACTGGAACATTCCTTTGAACTTGTAATGATCCCTCCTCTTGTTAATACAAAAAAATATAAATGTAGGAGAAAGTGTGTATTAGTTACAATCAACCTAAATGATTTCCAGTTTAAAAAGAACATGTAGTTTCTTTACTGTTTTGTATAAATTGCTTTTATTTTAACATAATGTGGGTAAGAGTCTCACATTTTATTAAATGCTGTAAAAAACACATCCATTTGAGTGATATCAAGAAATATGACACAAGTTCATCAAGTTTGGATTCAGATTTCATTTTAGTTGTAATGTTGTGGAATAGTTTTGTTTAAGGGTCATAAGCACTTGTTTTTAAAGTTTCCTGAGAGTAAATGAATAAGAGTATTAACAGTTAAAAAACTGGTGTCTGGTAACCATGCTGTCATTAACACTTTCTCTTAACTAAAATCATCTGATGTTGCTATTTGTCTCCTGTTTTTCTATCTGTTGTCTGACTTTTTCCATGTCTGCTTCCTTCTTTTGGGATTTGTCTCACTTCAGTTAAAAGGGCATCACTTTCCTGGCAGCTATAACCCTCAGTTCTGTCAATTTGTCATTGAAAGAAGTCGTCACTTGCTGAAACCGGTGAGTTGCTCGCATAGAAAGTGAATAAAATAGAAGCAAGGTATTACTTCCTTAACTATCTTGCTTGGACCATTTAACTAAAGGATATTGATAGTATTATTTTGTTGCTTGTGATCAAATAATTCAATTTTAACATTTTGAAAAATATTTATTAGGTTGTCAAGAAACTAATGTCGCTTTTTGGAACACTTTCATTAACCACCCCCAAAAAACATACGT